GGGGTGTATAGTGTGTGCTTAATGCCCCTTTGAACTCAGAAGAAACGAAAGCTAATTATATAAATAAAAATCATAAAGAAATACATACTTATGAAAAAAAGAAAGAAAGAATACAAGGATGCAGGAATGAAAAAATCAATCGATCAACCATCCAGTCAATAAACTTATAAAAGCATCAGTCAATGAAGCCAGGGTCCTTCGTTTGTATGGCAAGGGATATTTTTGCAATCTCCTCATATTACTTTCGAATCACCAGCGTCTGCAGTGTAGTGGTTAGGTCTTTCGGTTTTGCGCACAGGTGACCTGAGTTTGGTATTACGGGGAGAATGACGTTTATCTAGTATCATGGTGTTTTTGTTTGAACGTCGTATCTCCCTTAGCAACCCCAACCACTCACCCCCCCACCCCCCACCCCCCAAAAAAACAAAACAAAACAACAACTACCAAACAAAAACAAACAAACAACAACAAACAAACAACAAACAGACAAGAAAAACAGCAACCAACAACCAACAACAGCTCAACAACAAAACAGCAACAGCAACAGCAAAAACAGTAACATCATCATCATCATCATCATCATCATCATCATCATCATCATCATCATCATCATCATCATCATCATCATCATCAACAACATTAACAAGAACAACAACAATAACAGAACCGTGCCCAAACTAATCTTTTAGATTTTAAGCAGTAAATCATGTGTTGTTTTGTCGTTTGAACAGGCGACTATACGATTGGTCGTTACATTGACCTCGGACTAGCTCCCTCTGCGCTCTGCCTCTCCCCTTCCCCACCCTGCCCCTACCCCCTTGTCCCTTGTGTCAGTGCTGTCCACCCATTGACAGTAATAAATAAACCCACTGAGAAGGAGCAGGAGTTGAGACCACCGTATTGGCATATATAACCCACAGTGAAGACATGTACAACGTTCCATTGTGAACCGTCTCGGACTTCTATCTTTTCTAATAATAGACAAACTCAGACATTACATTGTTCAAACAAACACCTTAGGCTAATCGGACCCATATTTTGGACCCACAAAGTTGTCATTTTAACGGGTTCTTTGGGAACCACGGAGAAAATTATTTCAGTAACCTCTTCAAATTTGTCAGAGAAAAACAAGAGCACTTGTTTTGTTGCTTGAACCCTGTACAGCAGCATGGCTGAAGTGCTGATCCCACCCGTCACGACGTTGCTGTCTGATTGCGTGTGTATTGTGCAACTGACCTGCGCTATGGCGTCGCACATCCTGGGTTACAGCTTTATATCGAATCATTTGGAAGCATCCTCACGTCAGCCCTAGGGAATTTGGGATGTTTATGCACGGTATCACGTCAGTTGTGGAGGGATAAGAGACAAATGAAGACAAAGGACGATATCATGTTGACGGGGAAGGCAAGGAATGGATAGAGAATGACCGTCTGTTACTGCAGTAATGGGATGTTACAGCTGGTTAACTCAAAAGAAACATGCCGAATTATGGACCTAGTGCGATCTTCTCCGAGGGAAAAAAGTGGAAAAATCAAAACAAGAACTAAAAAATCCCCGGACAGTGTTGACTAAAGTAAAGGTTGAAGTCCTAAGTTTTCTTCTTTAAAAAAAAAAAGTAATTCTTGACCTCTTCTCTAATTAAAAACTTATGACTAATGTATTCTATTTCTGAAATGATGTTTACTATTATATGATTTAAAAACGTGTATTTATTTACAAATGGAGTATGGGCTAAAGCACTTACTGTGTTTAAATGTCTTTGACTATGCCCTCAACTTGTCGAATAAAAAAAAGAGTTAAAGATTAAGGGCTTCGTGTGGGCTTGTAGATTATGCTATAAGAAATGCCCCC